GTGGGACCCACCCCCCATGTGAGGGGCGGGTAACCCAGAGTGTTATAACACTCTGGGTACATGTAGCAAAATCCAAAGTAATAACACAGATATACAATAAAAGGGGTGTTTTGATCCAACCAAAGAACAACTCGAATTTTGAAAATATAAATTAATAATTAAACCAGAAAACCACCCATGAAATTAAAGGGTTGTTTGACAAAACTTTTGATGAAAATTTTAATAAAAATTGATGAAATTTATGATTCATATATAAAATTAATTGATGAGTTTGATTTCAACTTTTTTGGCGGATATAAAATGTCTACTATTATCAATGCATGTACATATAATATTCAACAATAGCAAAAGCCCCAGAATCTATAATGGTCTGTTGTTCCGTTCCAACAATGCATTGCTTGGGTCAAGAAATTGAAGTTATATAACGTGTGTGTAAGAAAGATTATATTTTCATACCGATTTCAGATTCAAGCGCATTGACAGTAAGAAGAAATGATGTAAAGAAGGCAACCATGAATAGAATGGAGAAGATGACTTTGTCCATGATGCCTATTCTTACTGCAACCGTCGGACGGTGGTGGAGCAACCAGGGACGACGGCCCTAATGCGCTATGAAATATTGCCAACTATACAAAAATATAGCCGGCAATGTAGATTTATGATCAAATCCTACACAAGAAATATAATTTTGAGAAAGAGAGAAAGAAGGGGTAATGTCAATGGACAACAAATATTTTCGGAAAGTCATATGCAGCGAGTCAAACGTTCTTTTTAACAGTTACTATTACTATATAATTACGAGGAATCATAGCGTTTTCCATTTTTAGGTACTTTGATTTTTTTCGGAAGAAAAAAAATAATAATAATAAAATTAGTTACGAAAAAAGAAACAGCCTGCAAATCGCAATCAGTTAAGCTGATTCGCTCTGCCGCCCCCTTTCACCATCAAATTATTCTTGATTTTTTCACGCATACGGATATATTTACACATGTAAAAACCTTATAACTTTTTGTTTAGATTTCGACTTTAAAATTCGATTTTTCCTGGGTTTGCATTCATAGTATTCATTGATCAGTGTCAGAAAATTACGTGTCTTCAATTTGTTGTTCAGCTGCAAGTGCGAAATATAGTTTGAATAGCTATAACAACTGGGTAATTTCATCGTTAGATCTGAATCTTACTATTATTTTTTTAACCACTAATAATTTCATCCAATTGAACAAAGAATGCCCCAAGATTCGACGTCGGAGCCTGAACCGGATGATTCTGATCCAGATCTAGAATTCGCAGAGGTTGATCCCACTGCTCGGTACGGTCGGGTCAGTGCAATTCTTATATTTTTTCGCCATTAGTTGTTACTGATATAGTCGTATATCTTTTAGTGTACATTAATATTTGAACTGATTTAGGTTTTCTAGATGAGTTTCTTTAATTTTCTGCAATACAATGCAATTCTGCAGTATAAAGAAGTACTTGGCAAGGGAGCTTTTAAAAAGGTGTATCCTTCGCAGAATTTGTTCAGGCTTCATTTGTAAATTTTAAATATATTCTAGCATTTAAATGATAATTGGATTGAACTACGAAATTTTCTGTTAGTCCTTGATTCTAATGTTGGAAAATAGATACAGAGCATTTGACGAATGGGAAGGAATAGAGGTGGCTTGGAATCAGGTCAAAGTTGCAGATCTATTGAGAAATTCAGACGATTTGGAGCGGCTGTACTCAGAAGTTCACTTGCTAAAAACTCTTAAGCATAAGAATATTATCAAATTTTACAACTCTTGGATCGATGCCAAGAATGAGCATATCAACTTCATTACTGAAATATTCACCTCTGGAACTTTGAGACAGTAGGTCAAACAATGATCTGTTATGATTTTTATTATTAGCTATGAATTTGGATATATATATAGATATATATTGAAAAGTATGGTGGCTGGAATTATGCATCTGTATAGGTACCGGAAGAAACACAAGCATGTTGAGTTGAGAGCACTAAAAAAATGGTCTAGGCAAATCCTAGAGGGTCTTTTATATCTTCATGGTCATGACCCTCCAGTTATTCATCGAGACTTGAAGTGTGATAATATATTTGTTAATGGGAACCAGGGAGAGGTGAAAATTGGTGATCTGGGACTAGCTGTTATATTGCATCAGGCTCATTCAGCTCACAGTGTCATTGGTAAGGTTGATTCACTTTTCTTCTCCGTTGTCTGAATTTAATTTTGATGGTTTGAATTGTGAAGGAAAGGATTTAATTGTTATTTTTTATGCTAGGCACACCGGAGTTCATGGCACCCGAGCTTTATGAGGAGGAATACAATGAGCTTGTAGATATATATGCCTTTGGTATGTCCTTGCTGGAGCTGTTGACCTTGGAGTATCCATATGTTGAATGTGTCAATGCTGCTCAGATATATAAGAAAGTGACAGCAGTACGTGATTCTTGACTTTCTGACTGTTCACATTCCATATTTCTCTTCACTATCCTGTACAAAGCAAATAAAAGCCCTTGTTTGAGCCCCATTTTTGGGGAAGAATGAATTTTTGAATAGTGTATTGATAGGAAATGTGTGGTTAAAAAATAAGAAAAAATTTTGAATTTACGTGTAATATTATTTTATTAAAGAACGTATAGTTGAAATGATGTCAAAATATTGTTGAAAAATACATTTTTTCAAAAAAATGGGGCTCAAACAAGGGCAAAATTGTAGCAAAAAACTTTTGAGAAATTTTGTTCTTGTTAAATATATAGTCGCTTACTAGTTTTGTTTGGAAACTAAGCTATTATGCTCTTAAAAAGCTATGGAGCACATACACCCTTACTAGTTCGGCAGGTACCTGTCCGAAACATGTTGTGTCATTATAATACTCTTACCCTTTTGGTGGGACACCTTGCATAAATTTATCTCACATTATAATTTTGATCATTGGAATGAGTAAAAATGTTGGAAGTTGATTACTTTTATTTCTTACTTTGATTTAATTGCCAAGATCAGATTCAGATCTTCAATATTGAGATATGAGTTTGTGGAGTGGGAGGGAGCTGACTAACGTTTATTAAATTAACTTACTTTGCTCTACTCTGTACCACACAACTAAATTCCTTTTGGTCTCTTTCCCTCTATAAGGGAATCAAGCCGGCATCGTTTGGAAAGGTGAAGGATCCTGGAGTCAAAGCATTTATAGAAAAATGTATTGCAAAAGTCTCTGAGCGGTTATCTGCAAAAGAACTGCTTATGGACCCTTTTCTCCAAGCAGATGAAGAGTCTGGAAGTATGGGAAACTCCATGCATTCCCTTCCTCTAAATGCAGGTGATTTTGCAGAATTCCTCTAGTATTTTGATTGCATGTTAATAACTCTCCCTGCTTTTGATGCTTCGTTTTTTTTGCAGATGATAATGGTGTAAAGTCTGACAGTGGAAAAATGCCTCATGACTCCATACCTGAGGGTAGTCAAGACTTCATGGTTCAGGGTGAAAGAAAAGACCATAATACGATATTTTTGAAACTCAGAATAGCAGATTCATCTGGTTATTTTTCTTCTTTCTATGTACTATATTTAGTTTTTATTCTAATACAAGAAAGATCCCACATGAGCATAATTGATCTCATTAAAAACTCTTTTAGTGTAGGTCACATTCGTAATATTCACTTCCCATTTGACATTGAGACGGATACGTCAACTGCCGTTGCTAGCGAGATGGTTGAAGAACTGGATTTGACAGATCATGATGTATCAATAATTGCTGCAATGATTGATTCTGAAATTCAATCACATATTCCAGACTGGGCTCCCAGAGAAAACTCCAGCAACAATGTTTGTGGTGAAGCTGAAAGTGGTGGGTATGGAGCTCAGGATGATATGTCCCCCACGACGCATGATTCTCCTCATTATAGCCCTCTTGTTTTGGATATACTGCCATCAGGTCATAAATATTGGTCCGATTCACCCAAAGCTAGTCGTGGAAGCTCTCCACTAAGGCCAGGGCCGTCAAACTTATTGGAATCAGAGTCAGTGATCTCTGGAGACAGCTGGTCCGAAGATAATTCACAGTCTCCAATCAGCCATAAAGGTTTGAACAGTTTCTGCAATGCTTCTCCGCAGAGGCATGTGGAGTCTGAGTCAGATCATGATGGTCATAAGAAAGGCAATGAAGAAGCCTCATTACCCCAAGATTCACAATTTGGTGAAGTTGACAAACGTATTGATGTATATTCTTTCAATAGGCCTCATTCATTGGGAGAAGATACAATTCCAACTGAAACTGATTCAGATGATGTTAAAGGTAATGTTAAGAAACTTGAGCATCTATTAGATGAGCAGCAAAGGGAGCTCGATGAACTTAAGAGGAAGCAGGAACAAGCTATTTCAGATTTTCTAAAGGAACTTCCCCTGGATGTCCGTCAGAGAGTTCTGAGAACTAGGAACCAGAAAATCGCTGAATATAAACTGAATAGTTTGACTTTTAACTTTATTGATCCAGGTTTGCAGATGTGAGTCTTGTTGCTTTACATTTCTAACTCGCCTTCCAAAGATTTGGAATTTTCTTTGACTACATCAATTATTATATCATCACAAGGGTTCAAGATAAACCAGAAGGCTGATAGTTTTAATCTTGTGGGAGAGACCAAAAACAGGAGTCACTGGAAACATATCTATGGATGTCTTTTAGCTTTGGCTTCAACATGGAAAACGGATATCAAATTTGACTTTTTTAATCTAGAATTTTCTAGCGTACACATGCAGGGACATAATTATGCTTCTTGAATTTGCCTCAGGATTCTATTTCTGTGAACTATGGTTAGTTGTACTGCTGAAGATCGGTAGTGCCTGGATTTGTTAAAACCTTGAAATCATGGTTTTGTCAAGGGCGGACATATTAATTTCGTCTCATTGCACAGTCAACATCTTTTGCAAATTGTTTTATATTCCAATTGATTATTTGATTTTCATGAAAAATATACCTGTATATAGAATACATGTTGTGTATTAATGACGCAAGTGGCTGATTGTCCTGGAATCATTGTCCATTGAAGAAACTATTATTGTTTCTATATTGTGAATTTATTTTTGTGCCTCGGAAAGCATTGATCGGTTGATGTTACTAATTCTGTTGAATACGAGGTCCGAGGATCAAATTGTATACGAAAATGGTAGTCTGTTTACATCTCCTTAATTATAATTTTGGCACATAGTTTTGTGTTGCATGATGAAATGAATCCTCTTTCTATTAGTTTGCTCATATACATGTGTTTGACTCTTGGTTCGAGTCTATATTAGCATTGGATTCATTTCTTTTACATATATGCACTATGTTTTAACGGTGAAAATGTCTGTTTCACCAGCATCTATGTTTGAGGAGAGTTGACTCGATACTGGATCGGGGCGACGCCATTGTGGTCTACTGATTAACCAGTTTTGTGCTTTTGTACATGAAGGGTGATCCTAGTTGAGGAATACTTCATTTTGGTCCTTTCATGAAGTGAATTCTGTATTAACTTCATAATAATCAAGGAACTTTTTAGCAGGCTCTTTGGATCTAAATGCATAATGTCATTGCATCTCTCATGATATGCTTAGCTACATGAACTTGTATTGTTTTCTCATGTTTGGGACCA